TGAATGAGTTACAGTCTTCATGTCTGTTCTGTTCAGAGGGGGCACTTCCAAGGGGAGCCTTAGATGGAGCCTTCTAAGAGAAGGCAGGAAGTTGTGAGTATATTGTGCGTATCATGAGGGAATGAACTCTTCATCAAGATAGGATTGTGAAGGCTGAACTATAAAACTCAGCAGTGACAGGATCCTCAGATAACAATTCTTGGTGACAGAGTAATACAGCTGGGCTGTTTTTTAAAAATATAAACACAAACCATTTTTATTTTTGATTATTACATTAAAAGTATAAGTGTATCTTATGTGCCACGGCCTGGGAAGCCTTTTTTCTTTTCTTTCAAAGGTCATGGGGTTTAGTTCAAGTTAACTATGGTCCTAATAAAATTGGATTGGTAACTCTACCTCAGAAGGTTAATAAGGAAAAAAAAAGTCACAATTCAGTACTTTAGGCTCTGATGTTACAGAAATTTCCAGAGCACCGTAGTTTAGATTTATAAAAAGTTAGAGTTGGCATGCCTTGTTTTTAATGGCATTGGAGACTTGAGAACAATTTTTGGTTAAAATTTAATCATGAATAAATAAAAAAATAAAAAAATTTTAATCATTGCTCCAGCCATGGAAAAGGCTCTAGCGCCAGGAGGCTTATGGTACTAGGTTCTTGAATTCGGCATTCGAAATCAGTTTGTTCTCTTTTCTTTATTATTAGTGAAATTAGTGTGTGTGTGTGTATTTGCACACATTTTTATTTGTGTACACACTGCTTGCTAGCCATAGTCAAGAGGCATCTTTTATAAAAGATGTAAACATCAGGCTCTAAAGCTCAGAAGTGTTTAGAATTTATTAGGAGTTTCCCAAGTTGGGATGTTAATTTTTAAATAAGCTTATTTCATCCGAGTATTCCACTTGATGAAGGTTTCACACTTCCTTTTTATCCATAAAGCGCCATTCCTTCTCCTTAGTTTTAGACATGTTAATATTACAACCATGCTAGTTAGCATAAAGTGACAGTTATGAGCCACAAGGAAATTTTCTGACTTAAGTTTTACACAACTACATATGAGTTTTAGGGGGGGATGGGGGGTGTTTGGGGGTGGGGTGGGAAACAGTCCATTGTACGTTTAGTGTAGTTTAGGTAACTGATTTTCACTACCAACAGTAAGTAGACTCCATTCTTCATGTTGGTAAGTATGGAAAGGTTTTTTTTTAAAAAAAGCATTTTGTAAGCCAGTTAAGTCTACACATCAGTCTGAAACCTTATTTAATCTGTCACTACAATAATTTTGTGGTTACGCTAAGAGCCATGTATATTTTTAGGTGATTCATATTTTTGTTATCTCCTTCTAGGTAAGCAAGGAGGCAGAAAACTTTCACTGTTTTATGTTTTCTCAAAATATCTTTAATAAGACTAAACTTCTTAATTCTAGTATGAATTTCCAAATGTAGTCATGACCTCTTGGTTTCGTAAGAACAAGCCCCGTATCAGTTCTAATTTTTGTTCCAAAGAGTGGTTGGAGAGCTTGGATTTCATGTGGTTTCTAGAAATGTTTTTTGGCTATGGAACCTAAGTTTCAAATACAATTAATAGTTTCAATGTGACTTAGTCTTCTGGCTTGATGGGGTTAAATAAAACCTAAAAGAATCTATCCTTTTGGAACATAACACTTTAATATCTTGGGGAATGTGGCACTACCAAAAGAAGACTGCTAGCACATCAAATGTTGACTTTGGAAGCTTCAAGAAGAACCCCCCGCCACCCTTTTTGGCCCCTTTTATTGTAGCAAATCTATTTCTCTATATTTTGTCATTCAATGAACTGAAGTCCTGTGGTATAATGCATTCATTAGGAGAAAAATGTTTTTAAATGTTCTTTTAATGATGGCCCAAAAAGGATTTGACACAGCAAGATGCATGTGTTTTTGTACTGAGAATATAGAATAATACAGTGTCACTAAATTTAAGACCTCTTCCCAGTCTTGCTGTTCCTAGCAAGAAGTTTGGCCTGTGACTGCACTTACTGTTTGTGCTCATCAAAAACTGTCAATGTCTGCTTTTCTTTTAACTTTGCAGTCTGTAACATCACGCTGTTTATTAAAAAAAAGAAAAACTGACTTGTGTCCAAACGGTCCTTAGTGTACTATGTATCTTAAACAAAACAAAACAAAAAAAAAACTGTGATAATTATATTTTGCTTTTTTTTGAACACTTGAAAGCCAACCAATGTTGCCAATAATCAAAATTTAGCTAAACTTGAGTTCTTACCAATAATGACTAAGAATAGTTGATTGAAAACCTGAAACTATTATGCCTTAAAAGCCAATTTTTTTGCCCCAGTAAAATGATGACTATTAAAGAAATATCTGTTTGAACATTCACTTCCTTTAAGCATGAAGAATTACCTGTTTGTATTTCAAGCAGAAATACATGTATACACATACATGTATGAATGTGTTTGTATATGTAGACAAGAGTTTTTTTCAAGTCTGTTAAAGACCAGAACCCAAAAGTGAGGTTAGGCCACAAGCAAACTGGTTTCACTATCAGTTACTGTAAACCTTGCAAAAGGTGAGTCTGGGCTTTTCTCAAACCAATAATACATGTGGGCATTGATACTTTGTACTTCTAAGCAGTTAACAGCAAATAATTGCTTAAACTTTGTTTCTTTGCCAAATGGTTTGCTGTGACTTTGAATTAACATTGTTCTTAATTGACTTTGTTCTCCAAGCATAATGTCTCCCTTTTCCTGAGATGAGATTATGAGAGGAACCAAGTAGCTACACTCTAGGTGAGTGGAAAACTAGTAATTGAAACACTTCAGGTTATACACTTCAAAAACTTTTTAGGTTTTGAATCAGTGGTTTTGAATGTATTAGAAAAATTCCACGAATTGAATGTTGTTAGATGCGTGTGAAACTAAGAAATGGACTAGAGATATGTCCTTAAGAAATCTATAGGATCTCAATTTACAAAATGATTGAAAATGTGTGTGCGTACATCGTTTTATTTTGGGAAAGTCTTTGGTATACAAAATAATTTACCACAACCTCTCAAACAGCATGTCCTGGACCTTAAATGCATATTATATTTAGCTAAGAGGAAATGGAAAGGAATCCTCCCCTACAGCTGCATATACTAGCCCTTCTAACCAACTGTCCAATGAAAGGTACCAAGGCTGACTGAATTTTATCTTATTTTTTAATAAGAATTTATGTATTTAAGGTATAGTGTGATTTGATATTGATATATAGCGAATGCTGATAGTCAAGCTAATCAGTGTATTGTCTCCTCACATAGTTACCTTTTGTGTATGGGTGTCTTTGTGATGAGAACACCTAAAATCTACTTTCTTAGCAAATTTCCAGTATTCAATATAGTATTTTGCCATCATGCTGTATGAGAGATCTCTGGACTTACTACTCATAACAAGGATTGTGCACTTTAATTAACATCTCCCCATTTCTCCCACCTGACTACCCCCAAAAATCACCATCCTACTCTGCTTCTATATGTTTGACATTTTTGGATTCCGCATGCAAGTGAAATGCAATTTTTTTCCTTTCTGTGTCTGGCTTATTTTACTTATTAGCATAAAGACCTGGGTTTATCCATGTGGTTGCAAATGGCAGGATCTCCTTTTTTAAGTCTGAATAATAATCCATAGTGTGTCTGTGTAAGATCACAGTTAATTCATCTGTTGATGGATGCAGGTTGTTTCCATATCTTGGCTATTATCAGTAATGCTCCAACGAACTGGGGAATGCAGATATCTCTTGGAGGTATTGATTTCATTTCCTTTGGGCATACACTCAAAGGAAGGATAAGGCTGACTGAATATTGAAACTTAGCAAAAGGGACACCTGGGTGGCTCAGTGGTTGAGCATCTGCCTTTGGCTCAGGGCATGATTGAGTCCCACATCGGGCTCCCTGTGAGGAGCCTGCTTCTCCCTCTGCCTCTCTGTGTCTCTCATTAATAAATAAAATCTTTAAAAAATTAAAAATTAAAAAAATTAAATACTCCTCTCTTTAAAAAAAAGAAGAAAAGAAAAAGAAGAAAGAAACTTAGCAAAAAAAATTTTGTCTACTAACATTTTTAAGCACTTTTACTAGGTGCCAGAAACTGACCAAGGTGTTTTACATACTCTACCTTGTTTATCCCTTAACCCCATGAGGAAGAGATTATCCTCATTTTATAAATGAGAAGAGAGAGGTTAGAACCTTCATTTCAGTTCAGCTGAATTGCCCAAGGATACATATCTGAAAAGTTGTAATTATGGCCTAGGAATTCAAATAAATCCACTGAGACACATGTTTTCTCTACTACTACACACTAGAAAGAGGAGAAAGCACCAAAATTGTTCATTCCTTGTCAAGTCAATATTGCTCTAATTATCCAGTCTACTTAGTCATTTGTGACTTGAAATTTACTGCTAAAAGGCATAATATTAACTGAGAAACAAAATTCCTGTTTTGGTTACATCTGCATATAAAAGTTGCTTCAAAAGTCTCATCTTTCTATTATCTATGATATAAGACTTTTTAGTAAAATTTTAAAGACTTTAAGGCATATTGGTTTTCACAGCAAACCCTGTCTTCAACTCGTAATTCAGCTTACTCTGGAAAGCCCTTATTGGGAGAGCCTTTTGACATTCATTAGTTAATAACCATGGTTGAGTCATTAATTAAGGTACGGACATTTGCTGACTATCCACGTGGGACTTCTCTACAATGCGAATCATCTGACATGAATCTTAAATTCCATTCAGTACAGCTTCTCCCTGCTTCACATTTCTGGCCATCTCTCCCACTCCCACCAGAATGTGCACAAAGAATAAGATTAGCTATGGAAAGCATAATTAACTAGAAAAATGTTGCTGAAAGCAAAATTACATAGTACATGGCAAGGTTAAGTATGAATAGCTCTAAACTTAGTGAATTTGCTAGGCAGGGGCTTTCCTCCTTTATCATGAATGGTGAGGTCCACCATTCCAAAAAATGGTAGGTCCACATTTTTTGAAATTACCAGATTACAATCTTCCTAACAGTGAATGACTTGCTCATTACTAAATTTTTTTTGAAAAATGTTTTGATGTAAACTCTGCTGCAGAGAACTAGGCTGCTTGTTCAGTACTCAATAGGTAGATACCCTCATCATTTATCCCACACCAGTGAGTTCCACTAAAGCCAAAATAAGATAAAGCATAGCTACCTGGAGCTCATGTTGCCATGTAGGAACAAAAAGCGCTGCCTTGATGCACGTGGAAAGAAATTTAAGAAGAAAAGAGGGTGAGTTTGTATGTATTTATAGAAAAACTAGAATACATAATGAGACTTTTTAAATGTTTGAATTGCCTCTACATGGTTAGTCTGCAAGTGGCATCATTAGGTCCTCAGAGGCAAAAAGCACCAAGCATCCATAGGCCAAGACTAATCTGGCCACCATCTTAAGATCTCTCTGCTCCTTGCTTTGCTCCTCCCCACACTCCACAGTTTGAATTGATGCTGTTCCACATAAGGTACTTTGCCACCCACCTCATCTCTGTGTGTAGCACTATATTTTTCACACAGTAGGGACAGGTACTGTGTTAATCTCACCATGCCAACAATCAGGGCACCACCTAGCAGAGTCAGTGTAGGCCAAAATAAACAGTGGAAGAGAACCATTTGATCATACTTTTTTATGAGAATGACATCTTCAGATTGGTTGTCTGGGCTGTAGAAGCATGTAAAGGGGGTCCCATTTTTGTGATCGAAGAACTCCTTTATGTCCAGAGCACTGGTGAGCAAATCATTCCTGTCTCGGTGGCACTTGGGTGTGTAAAAGCACTAGGAATATGGAAGAGGAAGGAAGATGAGGACACTGAAAGACCACACATTTAAACAACAGCTTTAATTCAGAAAGACCTTAAAACTGAAGATATTACTGGAGAGTTTCAATGATGAAACCTGTTGCAGAGCTCATGAAGAGTGGGCAGGAGGGCACAGAGTGAAAGGGCCATTTCCAGGCATAAAGCAGAAATGTGGGGGAAAATTCTTAGAATACAGACATTGCAGAAGATGCAGTGACCAGCCTCATAAGGACCACACTCCCTCCATATACAGGCACTCAGTCTCTATCCATTCAACAAATGTCTATTGAGATCACTATATGCTTTCAACACCTATTAATGCCTCTAGCATATTTATCTTGATTTCCCATAGTAAAATCTTCCCCTAAAAGATAGCATGTTGAGGCTTTGCCCTGGCCCACAGAGAGGGATCCTACATAGGCTTTGGTTCCTGGCAGACAGAACCAGTGAAGAAGGGATCTGTCAGCTGGTGATTTTTTTTTTAAAGCATATCCACTAGGCACTGAGAGCACTGAGAGCTTAGGTCCTACAGAAACGTTTGAGACCTTAAAAATTATTGCATCCAAAACAAAACAAATCATAAGACTGATTAGTGCCTAAGTAAAGACAACAAAGTATAGCATGTCAACTAATCTAATGCAACCTAACTTTCATAGTTAGGTGTAAATGTACACTATACATCATATGAACCAATCAAGTAACCTATTAAACTCAGAATTATAATATTCCTTTAATTTCTTTGATAAGAAAAATTGTTTACTTGATTTAAGATGGATTGTAAGTATATTTTAACATTTTTGATATGATAGGGAGTGGGACCTCTAAAAGTAAGACTGCCCACAAATGACTGTTCACTGGCTCAGCCTGTAAATGTCAAGACACTAGTTTGTGAAATTGGAATCATTCCTTTCCATTCTATGTACCCTGTTTTTACCTCCAAGAATGTTTTTAGCTTTATTTATCCTGATTAGACCACTATAGAGGCATTCACTGGAGAGAAACAGATTTATTCCCAGAGATGGTCCCAGGTACTGCACTCTGCTGGAGACAGTCTGGCATGGAAAGGGGACTATAATTAGAACTCTTTAACTACATGAACTTTACATTACCTTGGAATTTATCTGGACAGCCTCTTCATTATAGTGTAGGAGAGCTTTCTGACCTGAATGGGTGAGGTTCACAAACACCTGAAGACATGGGTACTTGCCCTCGCCCCGGCAGTCCACACCACAGGTAAAAGCACAGTCCATCCAGTCATCCATGATATGAGTGCGGATGACGGTACAGTTTGATTCTTCTCTCTGAGTGCTTCAATTGGAAAAAAAATAATTATCTTCACTCTCTACAAATTTAGTTTTAATATTTCTTTCTTTTTCTAAGAGAGAGAGAAGGGCAGAGGGAAAGGGAGAGAGAATCTCAAGCCGACTCCCTGCCCAGTGTGGAACCTGATACAGGGTTCAATCTCACAACCCCGAGATCATGACCTGAACCATGATCAAATGAAAGAATCAAATGCTCAATTGACTGAGTCACTCAGGTGCCCATAGTTTTATATTTCTAATGTGATAACCTAAGGCATTTGTTTATTTCAAGGTAATGTAGAACCATTACAGAAGGTACATAATGATTAGGGAACATGGAAAACATTGAGAAAGGGGATAAATAGCAAACTGCTAAGTTTCATTTCAATTATTATCCTCCACGCATATTTCTCGCCACACCAACCCTTAGATCAATGGTTTTCAAACTTCAGAATCACTCGCCCAAGTTTGTTAGAGTGAAGAATTTGTGAATTCTATGGCTTAACTCCCAGAGATTTGGGCTCAGTTGATCTGAGTTCAAGCCCAAGAATCTATATTTAGCAGTATTTAAGATGCAGGTATTTGTAAACCATGCTTTGACAAATATTACTGTAACCACATACTCAGGAATCTCATCCTCTTTCATGCCTCATCATCTCAAGACATACCCGTTGGCATGTCCTGACAAAAATGTCCCTTTGGAAGAGGTCCAACCACAGTCAATGTGGCCCTTAGTCAATATAGCCTCCATAATTCTAGTAACAAGGTACAGTTCCATTTACTCTACTTCCAAAGAGCCAAATACAAATTGAAGGAATTCTCATTAGAAAACTTACTGTTTTTGCTATCAAGTTCCTTAAAGTCAGGAGCTACATTCATCCTTATGTTCCTCAAAGCATGAAGCACCATGCCTCCCACACAGTAGAGGCTCAATAAGTGTTACACTGAATTAAGTTTTACTTGGAAAACATTTCTTAACAATTTGCACATGTACTACATACACAGAATGTTCTAGGTGCTATGAGAAGTGGTAGACAAAATTCCTGCCCATGAAGATTTTTGTGGTAGTGTTGAAAAAACAAATATATAGGAAAGTATTAGAGGACAAGTCTAAGATAAAGTAAATGAAGGTGAGAGGAAATGCTTGATTGAACGTACAGCCAGCTCCTCAGGTACCCTCACACGCCTAGGTGGATCCTTGTATTGATCTCCTGGTGACTTAAACACAAATGAGATCAGCAAATTCTAAAGTCAATGTTTGAAAAGCCTCATTGAAACTAGGTTCACATTGTACTCCCATTAGGATCATTGGCCATAGGTAAGCATTTTTCTTTATTAACATAATAAACTTGGGACACAGTGCAGTTTAAAATAATCTCAAGGCCAGGGCATTAAAAAAAAATCACTGGATGCAGCCTAAATATGATAAAATGTTGGACAAGTGAAAATACAAACATGGAAAATAAGGTTCCTTCCACAGGTTTAACACTAGCCTGCTTTTTCACAAAATTAAATTCTGTACTTATTTAGACTAAGCATCTTAAAATGATATTTTAGAGTTGCTTGTTTACCTGGGTTAAAACTTAAGCTCTCTGAATCCTAACTGAGGGCTGAACTGAGTATGGTTGAACTTTCCTTGAAGATTTCAGAAAGTTCCAATATGGAGAACAGAACGTTTTTTCCTATGCACAAGGACCGGGCCAGGCCTCTCAAGTAGAACCAGGGATGCTTTTAGAGCTGAAAACATTAGTATGTTCTTTCAATAGACACACACTGTGTGTCTATTTGTCTACAAATAGGCAAAATACCTCATTTGATGAGAATCTAAGGGAGTGGGGACAGGTATGAGCTATTCAGGCCACCTTCCATGGAGCAAAACCACTCCCTGAAGTGGCACAAGATCACAAGGCAAGAGACAGATGAGAATGCACCACTCTTCAGCATTCACTTAATTACTTTAAGCAAACAATTTGCAGAAATGCTTAGGAAACGCTTAGGAAAGTGAAATTTAAATACAAGCAACAGTTTCACGTCAGGTTGCAGAATGTATCCTCAAACCACTTCCCAAATTATCACATTTAAAAAATAATCTGACCTGGACCTGCACACACGTGCACACACACATGCACACACACACAATTTATTCAGCTTACATAGATATGTGTAATGCAGCTAACTAGCTAGGTAGATAGATATAGATACAGAAATCTATATATATATATATGTATATATATATAAAATATGTATAATATATATTATATATATTATTTATATAAAATGGAGTAGTTATATATATTTATAGTAATTATATATATATAATGGAGTAATTATAAATAGTAAATATATATATATAAGGACAAGTCTAAGTCTAGATATATATATATATATATATATATATATATATATATAATGGAGTAATAAGAAAACATAGGTAGAGAGATAGAAGTCAAGAGTGAGGTACAATCATGTAACCTAAAGACCATAAGATCCCTTACAATTGTGAGAACTGGGCCACAAATTTGGCTCTGAGCTTCCTAGTAGCCAAAGCAATTGGTTGTAAGGAAATACAACCACATATAGGATTTTTGGTGTCCAAGAATAAAAGGCTGGATGTATACAATGGAATATTACTCAGCCATTTGCTTCGACGTGGATGGAACTGGAGGGTATTATGCTGAGTGAAATAAGTCAATCCGAGAAGGACAAACATTATATGGTCTCATTCATTTGGGGAATATAAAAAATAGTGAAAGGGAATAAAGGGGAAAGGAGGAAAAATGAGTGGGAAATATCAGAAAGGGAGACAGAACATGAAAGACTCCTAACTCTGGGAAACGAACTAGGGGTGGTGGAAGAGGAAATGGGTGGGGGGTGGGGGTGACTGGGTGACGGGCACTGAGGTGGGCACTTGACAGGATGAGCACTGGGTGTTATTCTACATGTTGGCAAATTGAACATCAATAAAAAATAAATTTATAAAAAAAAAGAATAAAAGACTGGTTGATCAGAAGCAGAACATATTCTCCTGGGACTAATATGCAGGGGGACAGTTCTCCTGGGCCCTTCTAATAGTGGCACTGTGTGCTGTAGCAATGGTGACCACCACATTATTGCCCTAATAATGGTAACTTAGGAATGGCAAGAGAAGAATCCGGTAAATAACAAAGCAGGTCATCTACTGCCCATCCTATGACCCTTTCCCTTCACTGAACTCCTAGGCCTCCCTCTGCCCAGTCCCCTGGCCATCTATTACTTTTGTGTCCCTTGCTTTTCCCCTATTCAGTACTGCCCTCCCTCAAAGTAACCCATATTGTATAAGCCACCTCCAAAATTAAACAGCTCTTCCCCTGCCCTAATGATATCTCTCATTCCGGCCCCCCTCAAATGCTGCTAACTTCATTTAAGTATTAGGAGGCAAGGAGTCTTCTATCAAAATGATAGGCAGGTTCTTCACTGCTAAGTGACCTTGGGCAAGTTACTTGGCCTTTCTGAGTCTCAGCTTTCTCATTTATAAAAGGAAAATTTAAATGATAAAATAATGCTACCATCAGTTTTGCTATAGACTTAAATAGGATAAAACATAGTCTATTTTGGCATATAGTATATGTTTAATAAATGATAATGGTTATTAGATGTATTTAATAAGGAAACCAATGAAAACAGAAGGAGGAAACTAATATTTATTGAGCAACTACTATGTGCTAGATAGACATTCTCAAACTCAAAAAAACTCAGACTTAAATAACTTTTATTGTGCTCATGTAAAAGACTTAACCATTCCCTGTGGTATCTGCTTGTTAAAGGAAGAATTTCTTACCTAAATGCGTATCTAATTTATGGATTAGTTGTTGAAAGTATTTTTCAGAATGAAGAGGGGTAGTGGCAAAGAAATATCTCCTATTTTCTTATCACCCCGTCCTCCACACCCAACTGCCTCCCAGCACTGAGAGACAAACAGGTGATTCATCTTCCTTTAGACAATGATCAGGAGAGCTGAAGAAGCCAAAGCCAGTCTCCTCTTCTCTACCATTGTGCTTGATCTGAATTGAAAATTCTGGGTCTCCTTTTTCTGTTTCTTACCTGAGCAAGAAAGGCTTTAGGATAGTTATTCCAAGCAAAAAGAACATGAGGACTGAGAAGCCCATCATTGCAAACCCTAGCAGCATGGCTCGGTCCTCTCCAGCACTGGGCGGCAGCTTTTTGTGCACATCTGGTAGGTCTCCATCATGGTGGTCTATATTCCTATTCTTCCCTGAGGCAGTGAAGGCTGTCCTTTGGAGGAAGTAGGAAGAAGATATTTCAATAAGCTAATAAAGAAATGGAAATATTTACCAACCCATGGTGGTGGAGGGATGATCCCATTTGCCATCCACCTGAGGATAGTGAACAGGTTCAGAGCAACACAATGAAATCCCATGTTCAGGGCTTGGTAAAAAGTCCACCTAAACAAGCTAAAGTTATGTGTTATTAAATATTATTAACATAATATTTTTTACATATAACAAACAATAGGAAGTCTTTAGAGATCTGTTTGATGACTAGAAAAGAATTACCTATAAGCAGTTTTCATTTGTTATGTAAATAGGTGTTATGAACTTGCTTATCAGTCAGAGATACTACATATTCCCCCTAAAAATAATTTTTATATTCTTTTTTTTTTTTAAGATTTTATCTATTTATTCATGAGAGACACAGGCAGAGGGAGAAGCAGGCTCCATGCAGGGAGCCCGATGTTGGACCCGATCCCGGGTCTCCAGGATCACACCCTGGGCCAAAGGCAGCGCTAAACCACTGAGCCACGGGCTGCCCAATTTTTACATTCTTTAATGAGTTCCATATGTAAAGAATGACTCAGAAAGTTCAGATTCAGAATTAACAGCATCCAATTATAGACCAATATCCCTGATGAACACAGATGCAAAAATTCTCACCAAGATCTAGTCAATAGGATCCAACAGTACATTAAGAAGATTATTCACCATGACCAAGTGGAATTTATCCCCGGGATGCAAGGGTGGTTCAACACTTGTAAAGCAGAATTAACAGCATCCGGAAATAGGATTTGATTTGTTCTTTATATTATTCTTTGCATGGAAAGGCAGCATATTTACCATGGGACTTGGTGCCCCATAGCCAATCCATTCAGAATAATGAAGACTTCACTGCTGTCTTCTCTTCTCTCACTCCTCTTCTCTTCCTCTCTGTTCACTCACAGCTCTGTGTAAATCGCCCTACATTTTTTTTTCTTCTCTCTGCTCTGTACCAGCAAAGGATATGATAACTTATCTCACGATGAGAGTCCAGTGAACAGTCAAGTCCAAAACAAAGGTTGCTAACTGGTGACCCATGGACAGCATCCAGCCCACAGACCTGTTTAATTTGACCTTCTCTGTGTTTTTTTAATGTGGGATTAATTTCTAACATTTTAAAAATCATGAAGTTTCTCATTAAAGTGCTGATTTCTGACTTTTGAAAAAATCATTAGGCCCACACTCCTGCCTATGAACAGCTGGCCAAGCCAAGCAGAGGCTGCCCCTATGGACCAGCATGTATTCTCCAACTTGACATAGTCCCACCACTTCCTGTAGTCAATGTCATTGATTTGCTGTTCCTTGCTCAGTAGGCATTTGGGTCGCAGAGGAATTTCCACTTTAAGAGTCTTAACAAAATCTTAAGCCAAACAAATGCAGTTATAATTGTAGAAACTCAAACACCATCAAACTGCATAAAAGGCTTACTAAAATTTAAAGCTAAACAAAAACCTTGTCAAGGGCATTGCTAGTTGTTTTCTTCCAAAAGTATATATATATATTTTTTTCAAAAGTATATATTATACCTTATCCCACATATCCCCTTCTCCTTTCTCTCCTTTTCTCCCTGGCAACATCTTCAGAATTCAAAGACAATGAGGGGAATGTCAAGGAATCTAGGATTTTCTAGGAACCCTACTGGGAAGCACTGGCCTCAGAGGATGGCAACATTCCCTCATTAGTACTACTTTATTAAACCAGGAATCAAGAACCTGGTTTGGAGATTTTCAATCTCATTTGATATTTCACTCACCTGCTATGATCCCACCCTCAGAGAATGGGCAGGGAGAAAACTTTTTTAACGAAATTTGAGGCAGTACATTTTATAATTTGTCAACAAATAAATATGAGAGACTAAGATTTTAGCCATAAAGTAAGATTTGGATATTCTGTAAGTTTCCAATACCCTGTCTTTTCCCTTATGTTCTGAAACTGGACTTTAGTTGCTTCATATTGTAAGTCATCCTGGAGGTCGAGTGTAAGATGTCCATGGAATCAGTGCATGAAGAAGCTTATTATGATGTCTCTCTGGCACTTTCAAAAGATTGATTTAATAGATCCGATTATACTTGTTGATATACAAAAGGCACAATTTCAGTGTGCATGGGCAGCATCCATACAGGAGACAACCTTTGATCACCTGACCCTGGTGGCGAAGACACTGGTGTTCCTGAGTTCCACGGAATGTAACAATTAGAAAGACAGTTCTTAGCAGGCCACCACCTCCAGAGCAATGCACAGATAGCAGACTGAAACACACAATCTGCCTGTGAAAAAGGCCTATTTACTTAGCTTGGAGCTTCAGCCCGAAGTACAGGCTTCAGATTTGCTATACATCTAAAGGCTAAGGAGGCACTCCCAGAGAACATAAGCAGGGATACACAATTGTTACACACCCTCTTGGTCCTGCTTCAGGTCAATAAGACCTCCCAGAAGGAGCCTTACACTTGTCTGGAGCCCGTTTTTGCAATTCTCATCCAGAAAACACCTCTAGATCACCTGGTATAAAGGCCAGCTAGGTTTCCAATTGCAGCCCCAGAAGACTGTATATATTTGCATACTTTTACAGTTGTTGCCTGAGGATCTGGCTTCCAATCAACCTTAAACTAGGGACTAAATGAAATTCCTCCCCCTTGGAACACTGACAGGTCTTGACATACCCTCAGCAGCTGGGACACATACAGAAAAAGTCAAGCAGTTTAGACAACTATAAAGCTTTGAGTGACAACCAAGAGCTAGGAAAAAGGGTGAATTAGAAGATTCCTTACCTACCCAAGGCCATTCCTTCAAGACTGAGAGAAGGAGCTATTTTGCCCAATACATAGAAAAAGAGTCAAGCAAAATGAGGGAAAAAAGAAATATGTTCCAAATGAAAAAAAAAAAAACAGGACAAAACCTCAGAAAAAAAGATAAGTAATCTACCTAATAAAGAATTCAAAATAGTGGTTATAAAGATGTTCATCAAACTCGGGAGAAGGATGAATGAACATGGTGAGAACTTCAACAAAGAGAGAGAAATTACAAAGAAGCACTAAGCAGATATCACAGAACTGAAGAACATAATAACTGAACTGCAGAATACACACTAAGGAGTTCAATAGCAAACTGAATAAAACAGAAGACATCAGCAAACTGGAAGACAAAACAATAAAACTCACTCTGATAGAGCAGCAAAACGGGAAAAGGAATTTTATTTTAATTTTTAAAAGATTTTATTTATTTATTCATGAGAGGCACAGAGAGAGGCAGAGACACAGGCAGAGGGAGAAGCAGGCTCCATGCAGAGAGCTGGATGTGGGACCAGATCAGAACTCCAGGATCACGACCCGGGCCAAAGGCAGGCACTAAACCACTGAGCCACCCAGGCATCCCCAGAAAAAGGAATTTTTAAAAATGAAGACAACTTAAGGGACCAACATCAAGTAAAATAGCATTCATATTATAGGGGGTCCCAAAATGAGAAGAGAAAATGCGGCAGAAAAGTTATCTGAAGAAATAATTTCTGAAAACCTCTGTAACCTAGGGACAGAAACAGACATCCAACTCTAGGAAGCCCAGAGAGTTCCATAAAAGATAAATCCAAAGATATCCACAATAAGACACATTATAATTAAAATGTCAGAAGGTCAAAGTAAAGAGTGAATCTTAAAGCAGCAAGAGAAAAACAAATTGTTATGTACAGAGGAAACCCCATAAGGCTAACAGTAGATTTCTCAGCAGAAACTTTGCAGGCCAGAAGAGAGTGGCCTGACAGTCAAAATGTTGAAAGAAAAAAAACAACCACAAATACACTATCTGGCAAGGTTATCATTCAGGACTGAAGGAGAGATAAAAAGTTTGCCACATAATCAAAAGCTAAAGAAGTACATCACTCCTAAACTGACCTTACAAGAAATGTTAAAGAGATTTCTTTCAGCTGAAAAGAAATGGCACTAATTGATAAGAAAACATAGAAAATAAAAACTCTCACTAGAACAGGTAAATATATAGTAAAGGTAGTGAATTAGCCACGTATAAAGTAGTAAAGTTAACTAAATCTAATAATTAGTTAAGAGATACATAAAATAAAACATGGAAAATGTGACATGGAAAACATAAAATAGCTCCAGAGAAGGGAGTAAAAAATGTAGTTTTGGGATGTGTTCAAATTTAAGTTGCTTAAAATCAACTGTTATATACATAGGATGATATATGTGAACCTCATAGTAACCACAAAGCAAAAACAGATGGTAAATACACACACATACAAATGAGAAAGGAATCTAAACACAACACTAAAGAAAGTCATCAAAATACAAAGGATGAGAAAAAGAGAAGAACTACAAAAACGGCCAGGAAACAATTAACAACATGGCAATAGGGAGGGAGGGAGGGGCAAGATGGCAGAAGAGTAGGGTCCTCAACTCCTCTGGCCCCACACACTTACCTAGATAACTTTCAGAACATCCTGAACACCTATGAATTTGACCTGAGATTTAAAGAGAGACCAGCTGGAACGCTACAGAGAGAAAAGTTTTGGCTTCTAACAAGGTAGGAAGGTGGAAAAAAAATAAAAAAGAATAAAGTGGGGGAGGGGCACTGCAAGGAGCCGGGCTAAAGCTAAGCTGCGAGAGGAAACGCCCACCCTGGAGAAGCAGGAACTTTAAAAAACTGCAAAGGAGTGTTCCGGGATGGAAAACAGCTCAGCAGGGAAATCGGGCAGAACCGCAGGAGGGGCAGTGAAGCCTCAAGATTCCCAGAGTCACTATAACAGGAAGGGCGCTCAAGGGAAAGCTCACCACAAACCACAGGTCGATCTCGGTAAAGGGTTGGAGCACCGCAGTCCCCTGGGGGGCAATTGGGAGAAGCCAGTCAGTCAGACAGCAGCTCCTGATGGAGGTAGCTGTGCTCCGTTCCCTTCCAGAGTCATGGCCCCTGGGAGCGTGGGTCCAGTGGGACAGGGCCCTGGATCCCAGGGCACCA